CAGGTGTGTGTTACCTGGACCAGGTGTGTGTTACCTGGACCAGGTGTGTGTTACCTGGGTCAGGTGCTGCCGGTGGCTTCGTTGTTTCTCTCTCCAGGTGAATCTCTGGCAGGCTGAAGATGGACGTGGCTGAAAGTATCAGAAAAACGCTGTGACATCACAGCCTCAGGATGCGGTGGGGTCAAAGGTCACGTTTACACTTACTGTCAGGAAGTGACATCACTCTGTTTCCAAGGTGACTGAAGTACCGGTGACTCATGGCGTCATCTGCTGAGACTCTCTTCTTCCCTTCAAACTTAAATAAAGTTTCCTGGTTACATGAGCGTCAGCAGAAACACCACAACGGTTTAAGATGAACACGGTGAGGCGTTCACTGACCTGCAGGAACTTTGACAGCAGCTCCACTCCGTCACTGCTGAGCCTGAACAACACAAACAGGTCATCAGCTTGTTGTGTCTCTGCTGGTTTGGTTTTTAAAGAACCTCCTGCAAACGCAGGTTTTTGAAAGAGCAGATGAACGTGATTTCTGTGAAACATGATTCTAAGCTCAGACTGGGTTCACTTCTCAGCACGCCACAGGGGATGCGTTCAAGGACAGTCGTAAAGTTTAAAATCTAATGATTAGTTCCTGTTTACTGTGAGGGGATACAGTTGAGATTCATTTGGTATTGTAGTGATATTACACAGGACTGGTGCTGTTGTGTGTTTCCATAGATCCCAGGTGGACTGAAGCATTACTACTCCGTGTGTGTTGGCAGTACAGCCGCTCAGCAGTCTGGTGGTGTGGTTCAGCTAGGAGCAGAGTGTGGTGTTGTGTAGGTGTGTTGTGTACCTGGGTGTGGTGTTGCTCAGCCTCTCTGCTCGGTATTGTGGGTAATTAAAGGCCACAAACTCGTCGTTGGAGCTGATCCCAGGCCAGCTGCTCTCAGTGGGAGTTCCTGCAAACACAGCTTGTGTCAGATCTCTGGCTCTCTATGATGATGAAACAGAAGCTCATTGGTAGCGATGAAAACATGATAGGACTGATCAATCCATAAATCAATAGCATGACTGAAGTCCAGCATCATAAACAGTTCCTTTACATCCTGCTGCTCTGCCTGAATCACTGACTCTGGCTGAATTAGAGGATGTGAGCTCTGGTTGGAGGTCCTGAACCTCCTCAGAGTCTCTGTCATGGTCCCGTTGCTGCTAAACTCCCACAATGCTCTCTGCTGCCACCATGACTGTAGTCTGTAGACGCCTCCTCTGGTCTCTACAGGATTAGACAGGAAGAGGCTCCACCTGGTGGAACAACCAGGTACTGCAGCTGGTCTATGGTACATTTACTGACATCATGACCTTCTTTTGCCTTTTTGGTTAAACTTTTTAATTGATTACATGAATCAGAAGTTAATCGATTAATCAATAACATCTCCAGTTCTCACCCAGCAGTTTGAAGATGAAGTGAAGCTCCTCCTCAACGGTAGAACCTGGAAACAGAGGACGACCTGTCGCCATCTCATAGAAGATACAGCCGACACCCCTGAACACAGTAGGACAGGAGGACAGTTTGCCCATTTTCCTGACTTACGACAAAAGTTTGTTGTTTAGGAAACAAGATTTGACAGTCAACATTTTACAGTAGTACTACGCCTGTAGCACTACTGCTGTAGTACTGCAGTACACTGACCACATGTCTATGTGTGTGGAGTAGTCGGTGCTGCCCAGCAGGATGTCTGGAGGCCGATACCACAGAGTCACAACCTCATTAGAGTACGTCTTAGTCGGGATTGACTTCGCTCGAGCCAAACCTGGAACACACAACACACACCTCAGTGACATCACTGCAACGACAGCAGGTGGATCAGGTGACTCAGTCTACAGGTGCATCAGGTGACTCAGTATACAGGTGTATCAGGTGACTCAGTCTACAGGTGTAACAGGTGACTCAGTCTACAGGTTATCAGGTGACTCAGTCTACAGGTTATCAGGTGACTCAAGTCTACAGGTGCATCAGGTGACTCAGTCTACAGGTGTATCAGGTGACTCAGTCTACAGGTGCATCAGGTGACTCAGTCTACAGGTGGACCAGGTGACTCAGTCTACAGGTTGTCAGGTGACTCTCACTCACCGAAGTCAGCCAGTTTGAGTTCTCCTCTCTCGTTGATCAGAAGGTTCTGAGGTTTCAGGTCTCGATGGAGAACCTTCCTACGGTGACAGTAGGACAAACCTCTGAGCAGCTGGAACAGGAAGAGCTGAGAACAGAAGGGAACCGACAGGTGAGCTGGACGAATACACACAAGCTCCAGCACAAAAATACACACAATCCGTCGTATAAGTACACACTCATCTGAGATGTTGGTTGACACTATTTGGTAATGTAGAGATTTACAGAAACCAGTCAAGTTTTTGGATTTAGATTCTGGACTGGCTTTGGACTGGTGCTGGAGTGGTACTGGACGAGTTTTCGACAGGTACTGGACTGGTTTTGGACTGGTTTTGGACTGGTACTGGACTGGTACTGGACTGGCTGGTTCTCACCTTGACGTTGTGCACGTGGATGGTGTTTCCACAGTCATCCAGGTACTGCTTCAGATCTTTGTCCTGACACACACAAGTACACAAAAATTTAATACAACTGGCACAAGAAGGATTGTGTGTCTGTTGTGTGTCTGTTGTGTGTCTGTTGTGTGACTATTGTGTTCCTGTTGTGTTCCTGTTGTGTGTCTGTTGTGTGTCTGTTGTGTGTCTGTTGTGTGTCTGTTGTGTTACCAGGTATTCGAACACCAGCGTGAGGGACTTCTGCGTGTGGATGATGTCGTGCAGCGTGACGATGTTGGCGTGTTTCAGATCCTTCAGCAGAGACACTGAGGGAGGAACACACTGCCGTTAGTGCCCTGGTCCTGCAGTACTAGTACTGTACTACAGCAGTAGTACTACTGCAGTACTGCTTCACCGCCTGTCACTGCAGTACCTTCTCTGATTGCAGTACATGGAGCTCCTTCTTCATGTTCCAGTCGGATCTCCTTCAGAGCGACGAGGTTCTCCGTCAGCTTACTGCGACCTTTATAGACCGTGGCATAGGTTCCCTGAAGACAGACAGGTGGATGGACAGGTGGATGGACAGACAGGTGGATGGACAGACAGGTGAGTTGTGTTTTGTAATAAACCTGAACAGACTTTACCAGCAGTAGACAGAACACTCACCTCTCCCAGTTTGTCCAGTTTGATGTACGTCTCCAGTTTCCCAAAACCAATCTCTGACTGCAGACAGACAGACAGACAGACAGACAGACGGGTTAACACAGACTGTCCAACCTCTGAGCGTCCTCTGTAATGAAACAGAAGCAGGTGGACGTACCAGAGACACCCGACGCAGCCGCCTGCTGATTGGCTGCTCAAACAGAGCCGGACCAATCACACTGAACTTCTCCAGGTAGTCGTCTGGAAGACGGATGTCGGCCGGTAAGGACAGACGTTTGTTGATGTCCTGTTGGACAGAGGCACACTGTGAAGGTCCTGCTTCATGTGACCAAACTAAGAGCTCAGCCTGCCCTGGAAGTACCTCAGTGGAGATCTTCTTGTTCCTCAGTCGGACTCTGACCGGACTCTGAACGTCATCTGAAGAAGAAGCTGGATCACTTTCTCCATCTGAACTCATCTTCACATCTTCATGGACGATCTCTGACAACACACACAAACCCAGAGTTATACACAGACATAGACAGTGACGGTGGACTTACGTCCACCCAGGACCATGATCCACTGTGGTGGTCCTGGTCAGGTTCACACCAAACATCTGGACTCCATGTGAGCCCAACACATTGATCTCCATCTGACCAGAGGATGTTCTCCAGCATCCATCAGGCTTCTGTTCATGTTCTCTGGTGAACTTTGATGTGGAAGTTTAGCTGTGAGCAGCAGCCAGGTTTAGTTCTGCTCCTCCGTCCATAGAGGCTGATGTTCTGAAGTGTCCTTCACACTGTGTGAGCTTCACACTAACTCTGGTCTCCATTGATCAGCCCTGTGCCAAGTCTGAAGCAGCTGCCTTTGTCTGGTGTCCACAGCTCCATAGTGACAGTAGTTGACTGTCCGTGGAGTCATTGTAGGAGGACGACCACTGCAGCCCTGATCAGTGCTGCTGTGGCTCCTTCTGGACCTCCTGGTTCCTGCTCACACTGGGCTGCACTGGGTTCTAGCTGCTCACTGATCTTCTGGATCCTTTTCCATCTTTGTCCAGTCTCTCAGTCAGATGTTTCTCCTCCTCTGTTCAGGTCTTCTCCATGTGGAGCCATGATGCAGACATAGATAGACACAGTCCAGAGGTCCAGAACTGAGGAGGTTCTGCTGCTCTCAGCTCGTTGTAGAACCATGTTCATGCAGGTGGACTGATGGAGACCACAGCTGGACTCACTGTGGTTCTTTGAGGTTCTACTCCGGAGCCTGAGTTTTACATGTAAATATTATAAGGGATGAGTTTCTGATTGTTCATCAGAGGAAGTACTCTGCTGCTAGAAGTAATCTGATTACTGACAGAGGATACAGTTTGGGTTCATTTGGTATCTTAGTGATGTTAGACAGGACTGTTGTGTTGTTCCCTGTGTTTCTATAGATCTGTCAGTGGCGGCTGGTCAGAAGTGGGAGGGTCCAGGACGCACCAAGCTGCCAATCAGAACCCAGGCCAAGGTCACATGATCACCAAAAGTTTTCCAGGCTATGTACACACTCATGTGGCTGCACCCGCATCCAGGAAGTGTAACAATGAGTCTTTAAGCTGCAGTAAAGACTCATTTTAAATCTACTAATAATACAAATATTGTTAATATGGCGAAAGAATAAGAACATTATCATTAGCTTTAATATTCTGTCACAATTCATGCAAATGTAATATTACGGTTGAGAACCACTTTTTATCTGGTTGTTACTAGAGGGGCGGCGCCGTAGTGACCAGCCAGTTCTGATTCATCAGGTGAAGGTGGACTGAAGTACTGCTACTCTGTGTGTGTCAGCAGCCGGGCCGTACCCAGTCTGGTAGTGTGGTTCAGGTAGGAGCTCAGGCTGCGACCCAGACCGCGAGGCTTCCTCAGAGAGCTGCTGTAGGACTGAAGCAGAGACTGGACTGAAGAGGAAGAACCTCGAACCTTCAGACCTCCAGAAGAACGAAGAGACACCACCTCTGGGGGGGGGGGTTGGGCAGAGAGAAACAAACAGGAAACGAGGTTGACAAAGTAATGACATCTTAACGAGTTTGATTAATTGATTGATTGACAGCTGCAACAACCAGTCGGAGCAGAGGGAGGAGCTAGGTGAGACATACCTGAGCCAAACAGAACCAGACTGGTGTCAGACTGGTCTGAACGGGTTTGAACTGATGTCAGACTGGTCTGAACCAAACAGAACCGGACTGGTGTCAGACTGGTCTGAACGGGTTTGAACTGGTGTCAGACTGGTTTTGATGCTGTCTTTAGCTGCATCATCAATATCGTCAACAACATGCTGATTCCCTGCTGATATTGATCAATAATCACACTGACAGGTGAGTTTTACCTGAGTCGCTGTGTGACGTCACGTCCTGACTGATGCTGTCACTCAGCGTCCGGTCCCCGCCCCCTCCTCTGGCCCCGCCCCTCCCCAGTGTGAGCGACAGCTGCCGTTTGATCTTCCTCATCCTCTCCATGAGGGGGGGCCGGGGAAGCAGAGGGGGGCGGGACGCTGAGGGGGGCGGGGCCGCCAGCCTGGAGACCCCACCTGGACAGGTAACATAGAACCAGAGCATTAAAATCACGCTCACTTGAACACCCTTGACTGCTGCTGTGTTCAGATAACAGCGAACAGCGTCTGTTCTGAGTCTGTCTGTGCTGCTGGTGTATTATCCTGCTGATACCGGGCTCCGTGTATTTCCTGGTGTGTATTATTATCATTATGTTATAGCCGGGCTCCGTGTATTTCCTGGTGTGTATTATTATTATTATTATGTTATAGCCGGGCTCCGTGTATTTCCTGGTGTGTATTATTATCATTATGTTATAGCCGGGCTCTGGGTATTTCCTGGTGTGTTTGTGTATTATCCTGCTGAGGCTGGGCTCCCTGTATTTCCTGGTCCGTACTGTCATTATGAACATTATTATTGTGTAAACGCCGGGCTCCGTGTATTTCTTGGAGTTGCTGGTATTATCCTGCTGTGGTCGGGCTCCGTGTATTTGCTGCAGTGGCTCGGCGTTATTAATAGCAGCGGAGGCGGAGCGCGGCGGCTCCGCTAACGGCAGCGGGTGTTTGAGGAGCGGCTCCCCGGTGATAGTCGAGGCCCGGCGGCGGCTGGTACTCACCGGGCGGGTCGGTCTCTGCCGGTCCCGGGGTGTCCTCGGCTCGGTTCAGTCTGACAGACGGTCGGTTCTTCTTCGCTCCCAGTAATCTGCCGCCATGTTGCTGCTCCGCACCGTCAGTGACGTCACATCCCGCCAGGAGGCCCCGCCCCCTTCGGTGGTGTATTTTTAAATCATCTCATCTGCAGCTGATCACTGATCGATACTGAGTCTCCATGGCGACCAGGTCAGTGGGATCCAAACCAAACTGCCCTGGATCAGTAATCAGTGCTGGTATTGATCCAGATGAGACTCTTCTCACCTGTGAACCACCTGAAACACTCTGATCCCTTCACCTGCATCTAAACACTGAACCAAACAAACTGCAGGATTCACACAATGAGCTGATCAACTTATTGATCCGTCCTCCATCTTGTTTTTCAGATGAGTGACAGTTGGATGAAGATGGAGGCGGGGCCTTTATTTCGCTGTTGCCGTGGTGAATCGATGACGTCACCTCTGTTCTGATCAATAAAACCAGTATGACACAAGAGTGACATGACAGCGGTTTGTAAACACGTTTAATATAAAACAACACAGTCTGCTGGTTTCCACCCTGAACGTCCGACCGCCGGCCGTCTGGACGTCTGACGCCTCCAACAGGAAGCTCATCAAGTCTCTTCCTGGAGTCAAAGTTCAGCTGCTCCTCTTCTTCACTTCCTCTTCCTCACCAGCGTCCAGCCGTCCTCGTCTTCGTCCTGAGGAGCACGAGGCTGCGACCTGCTGACCGGAGGAGCCGCCGCCTCACACTCCATTCCCTGGAACACACACACACACACACAGAGTCACCTGAACACCTGAACACCTGGCAGACCGGGTGAACCTGTGGGTGGGCGTTACCTGAGCTCCGTCGTCGCTGTCGTCATCAGACTGGCTGGTCGGAGCCGTGACCTTTGCTCTCTGGTTCTGGTTCTGTGTCAGAGTGTTGATGGTGTGTTTGAGCGGCTGCAGCGCCCCCTGCTGCCACTGAGAGAACAGCTGCAGCAGACGGACCGACACCTGGGCAC